CCACATCGGAATGGGGAAATTATTTAAATCAAGCCCTGCCAGCAGCATTTAAAAGTTAAGCACATGCTATATCAGAATTTGGGCTGATTTAAATCTGAAGCACACGCTATATTAGACTTTGAGTTGAATATTACGATAGGTATCGTTTATTTAAAATACTTATTTTTAGCTTGGCCTCTTATTATTTATAATTTGAAATATTATTAAAATCTATAAAACGAGTAATACTATAAATTCATGTTAAATAGTATATATTTAGTAAAAATATATGGACTTAACTGTAAACAATAAATTATGTAAATATATACATTTGACAAATAAATTATTTATACTCTTAGATCTTGTCAAATCCATTAACTATTTAGATGTACGTTTATTGAAAACCCACTTGTAAACATCACTATTCTTAGCTAGTAGATGGATTGCTAGCGACCTTTCTAAAATTTCCAATACCATATGGATGCCAACGAATCCATCATTTTAACACTTTATGGTCAACCATCCATCAACTTTCTTCAACCGACCTGAGCTAGCTATCTTTCTACGAACTTCTTTATCATTAGGAGTGCACGATCATGCCAATAAAAGAAAGAAATCACGGGCCAGCGATCGTTCGCCATGGTAACAAACTTAATGCATTCCGCGTTAAAGTGTCAATGATCTCGTTACCGAAAAAGAACGAAGAGCTTCAAACATTTCACGCACCGGAGTTCATTGTACCACAGAATTGGACGGAGGGCCACCGAAACATGGCCACCATATGGCAGAGTCCATCGTAGATACAGTCTAGATTCACTAACTCATATTTTCGTAGATCAAATGGACTAGATCTTTGAGAAGCTATGAAGTCTATGAAATCAAATTTTAAGTATGTAAGTAACCAATAAATATTTTTCACATCATCTAGGCCTTAGGTTTCTAAACAAATATGTTTAAAGTTGCGAAATGCCAAACAGTCTCTAATTTACAAATTACTTTTGTTGCAACATAAATAATAAAAACATTAAATACTATTATGTAATATCAATCAGCAATCTAGCAATTTTAATAATAATATTTGAAAGTAGTTTGAGTTATAGAAGTCTTACTGTAGCCGATGGAGAGTTGGGAAGGGAAGAAAGGGGCAACTCCATTGGTGGTAATGGCCAAATCATGCACGAGCTTTTGCAGAGAGAAGATAAATTAATATGGTCAGCATGTCATGAATTAGCTTTCTTCCTATAGCTGCGCTCCGACTTTAGACTTCTTCGGCTTCTGCCACTTGGCTACCTATTCCAGAAACAAGGCAACAAACAAATACAACACGGTATCACACACGGCACACAAACTTTCACGCAAAACGTCCATTCAACTCCGGGCTGAAATAGAAGAAAGAATCAGAATCAGAAGTAGAATCAGAATCAGAAGCAGAATCAGAATCAGATCCAAAAGCAGCAGCAGACCATAGACAGGGATAGGTATGGTATACGAATACGTATAAATTCCCATAAATCAGCTGTGAGCCAAAGGGTCAAATACCTCGTGGCGGGCTAAAAATTACACACGAACATGTGTTGAAAGGAGAAATTAAAACCAAATTAGTTTTACACGCTGACCAGCTAGAAAAAGAGCGCAAAAAATAGAGCAAAGATTGAAAAAGGGAGCATATATTGAAATTATATTAAAATTTGTTTTTTACTCTTGAATTTTTGAAAATACTATTTTTCACTGAAATAATTAATTATGTTGTTTTTTTAATATGTAAATGGAAAAGTAGTTTACATGTTATTCAATACCCTCTGAAAAGCTATGACAATCCTTCACAAAAACGATCGTCCAGCTCTAGTTTATTTTATCTAGATGGCTTTTGCCTAATTGCCCCTAAGATCCCATTTATCACGCGTCCACCACGCCCCCTCCAAAAGTTTGTTCCAATTTTGTTCCACTTAAAAAGCAAAAGCTGCTTAGATACGATACGGATAGTACTTCCTCCGCGTTCCAACAGTGCCCACATATGATAAACTCTTCGCTGGAGGATCAGTGGGAATCAGAGTGTGGGTAGAAAGCGCACCAACAAAATTAAACAAAACGAAGAGCCAGGGAAAACGCTAAAATATCGGGCCCGACTTTTGTGTGGCCATAAAAATGCGTGAGTTACGTGCGGGCCAAGAGCAGAAATAAGAGCCAGAAGCAGCGGAGACGTCACTCAGTCCGTCAGGGAGTCAGTCTTTCAGTCTCCCAGGTTTTCGGACTGAAAATGAACCATTGACGCTGCTGGAGTTTGGCCAAAAAAAATGCAAAGTAAATTAAACATTGGTCCGCCTGACCTGCCCTCAAACTTTTACGTGCACAGAGAAAAAGTCAACAATTAGTGTATTAGTGTATTAGTTGTATTACATACAACTAAATATTTAAGAAAAAATTAAAACAAATTCCTAAGTTGGTACAAATGTTGGTAACATTTTGATTTTATTATTAACCAGTATAACCAGTAAATATGTTATCATATTTAAATTTTCTATGGAACATTTCGAACTCTATTTTTAGACCAACCTTACCAGAAACAGACTTCTTTAGAATGTTATAGCTCTAAGGTTCGACAGAAATATTAATTTTAATGATCAACACTTTAAAAATGATTTAGTTTTAAATATTTATAAATATTACAGTTCCATGTTCATAATGATCTGATTTTTTGCCGTGTGCTTATCCTCCTGCGACTCACCCAACCCACCCCAATCTCCTTTTATGTGCCAAAAGCACTGGGATCCATCCGCCATGGTGTTCATGATGATGATGATGATGATGATGATGACGAGGTTGTGGCTTTGGCTTTTGGTTTTTGGTTTTTGGTCCGCCGCCACCACCGCTGCTACGTTTAATGCGCCACGGTGTTACCAAAGTGGCAACGACAGTTGCGGCCATTCACCTCCCAAAAAACCAAATATATCCGCCCGTGTGTGAGAGTGAGTGGCACACATATGCAGCAAACAAAGTGTGTAAGTCGGGCCCCAAAGAATGAAATGACCAGGCCATCCCATCCCATCCGTGGTGTAACCAAGTTAAGCCAAGCTCGCTAGGCCCAACACCCATACCAATGCAGACCCACGTTCATGGCCGGTACGTGTGAGTGCGTTTTGGACCTAAGTGTGTTACCAAACTTTTACACAGGAAAATACGATGCCTAAACTAGGGATAACCTCTAATAGTTCATTTGTGCTTCAGTAATATTAAATATTATTATGAAACCCCTATAAAAAATTATTAAAACACCTTTTAGTATGAAGTTATATTCATGATTGATTTGTATTGGCAGCCCCCAAATGAAAAGGTTTTAATACAAGGAAGTTCTAGTTGTAGAATAGGTTAATGCGAAATAAAAAAAATGTTATTTAAGGAAGGTTTAAGTTAATAAATTTGTTCTCAGTGTACTGCTTTTTGGCGGCTTTTGTTTGGCAGTCTTTATGGGTCTTTTTGGCTTTCATTGTCAGAGTGACCGTGCCACAGAAGATTACAGGGCAACACACATATAAGCTCGTTGTAATGGATTTTTTGGGGGGCCGGGAGTGGGGCTGTAGAAACAAGTTCCGCCTTTTTGGCCTGCTTCTCGCGACCAAAGAAATGATTGACATTGGGCAGGGTCGCCATCAGTCCCCTCGACTGACATGCTAATGTTTGAGTATGAAGGAGCTTGCCGTTCCAAAACAAACAAGCTGAGGTGAGAGAGAGGGGTATATGCGAACTTAAAGAGACGGGTGAACAGATTGCGGCTTAAAACCGGCAAAAGTTCAAGCAAAACAAAATCAGCTGACACCCAAAGAGTAGTTATGGGTCTGTAAGAGAGCCCCAACGTGATTACTGGCTTTGAAAGAGAGCTAAAAAGAGGAAAGAAAGAAAGGGGTATAGGCCATTCGAAAGAGATGGCAATAAGAGAAGAGAATGCAATGCAACTGGCCTCAGAAATGCGGAAGTGTATGCATTGCATCCGTCGTTCATGTAATGTGGGAAAGAGACGGGACATGATGGAATGAAAGAGAGGGGGCGATATTGAGAGATCAACTGGTTTGCGGCTGTTTGTGTTGGTGTGTTTGTCACTGTTTAGGCAAACATTGTTTATAACTTGTTTATATAAATATTGTTAATTTCGTGCGAGGCCTGCAAACTGGCCCCCAACCGGCATCGCTCTCTTCCCTCTCTCTATCTCTCTCCATCTCTTTCAATCTCTTTCTCCCCATGAATATCTTGGATTTATGTAGAGAGCCCCCCAATTGTGTGCGCGGAAGGGAGAGAGAGCGATGGGTGGGCGAGACAGGGAGCGAGAATCGTTAAAAGCGCAATTAATTGCTCACAGCCAATATCAAATCAAAAGCGTTTTAATGAATTGCACAAATTTGTAAAGATTGCCGCTGATTTGTCGCGCGTTGGAAAAGGGGAAGCAAAAAACTGAGTTGGTGGGCCGAGGTTCAAATAAAAATTACTTGAATGTCACAGTGATTCACTGGCGGAAGAATGTAATTGCCCCAGGAAATAGGTTAAGTTCTTGGAAAATCACGTTACAATAGTAGAAACCTGTATTATTACTAATGGAATATTAATAAAATTATTCGCCCGAGAATATGTTAAATAACGATGTACTCATATAGAACAATAAGTATACTTACTTAAGCGATTCAAAATGTATTTTGCTACACAAAAAAATTTAAAAACAATTTAAATTTAGTTTCGACAGGAAAAAAGAGAGATTTCTTAGCAAACTAACAACTACTGTCGTCCAATGATGTGGAATATTAAAAGCCCTAAAAAAATTTGTTTGATCTGAAAAATGGGTTTTCCAAAAATTACCCCCATAAATGGGTTATGTTCTTGAAAACTCATATTATATCAATGTAAGCATTCATCTTGAGACTTGAATAATCACTTTCCGGGGGACTCACCTATTCCCATACCTACATCATTCAAGTTAATCGATTATCTAACATAGTCAGAATCCATATCATCGTAGAGCGCGCGCCGACAACAAATTGGGTATATCATCATTTTATTTATAGCCATCAATTACCATTTATGCATTTCCAATTAGCCTGGTAGTAGGTGCTGGGCCAGCTCCACAAAACCCGGGGACTCCGCCCAGTTGGGCACAAATGCAACATTCACACGTGCAACAAAAGCGGCAGCAACAGCAACAACTGCTGCAACTATGAAAGCATTTTCCAATTCCGATGCATGACATTAGATGCGCTCTCCCATACACGAAGTTACATATGCATGAAAAGAATCCCAACTGGTAATGAAAATAAAGTGCACGTCGCATGCGGTAATAATAACAATAAAATAAAATAACAAATTACACGCAACACTGCCACGGCCTGGGACTCTTGACTTGGACCGACTTGGCCTGCACTGAGAAAAAAGAAGGGATCTTTGGTTTTTTTTTCGATGATTATTAACTACAATGCTTTATTAATTTATCGTTTTTTTTTGTCTATAAATTATTATTATTGATTTATTTTAACGATGCTTACTTACGTTTTTTTTTAATTCATTATTCAATTTTAACAGCGCTGTAGATATTTTTGAAGATATTTATAATTTGGTAAATAGGAAATAAATAAGAAAAACGTTAAGAATCAGCTTTGCTTTCGTGCAAGCTTTGCCTATGCATTTTGTTATTTATTTCTTAAAATTCATTAAGATTACTGAATTTTCTCGGAGTGCTTTTCGGTTTGAATTTGAGTTCGACTTGAGGTTTGGGACTTGGCCAGCGAGCGATAATTACGGAGACACGGCAACAAAGGCAATCGAGCCGACTCACTGAAAACTTGGCAGAAGGAGAAGCCAGGCCGCTGGTGCTGAGAATCGTGTGTCCCCATTTCGAAGAAAGAGCCAGGGAAAGAGGGATCGGCATTGGGAAGGGATAACTTAACCTGGGGCATAGAAAGCTGATGCTGAAGCTGCTGTTGCTGTGGCCAAAAAATAAAGAAAATCCACAAGAGGTTACAGCCAAGGGCAGGGGCTCCATCGAAGCTCCAACTTACAAATTGGCTAAGAGAGCGGCTCTCTTTTGGCCCCTCTCTTGGTTCTAAAGAGTCGGTGAAATGTGGCCAACACAGACGGCAAAACAAACGCATACAGGTAAAACCAAACCCATATAGCTTAGTTGTGCAGCTCAGACAATCTGGGTCACATTTTGCCATTGAACCGGGGACGTCACAGCGGGGCAACGACCGCAAAGCACGACCAGCTACAACAACAGCAACTAGGTACAACAACAACATACCAACGGCAACAACCACAAGAGATCCAAGCAACCATTGGAAAGCGTGCAGGCAAACATTTTTACAACGACAACTTGGTGCTTGGAGCCCAGCTTCATTTCTGGTTTTCTCTGCTGCCTGATTTGTTGCCCAGCGAGCAAAGTAGTGTGTGTGTGTGTGAGTGTGCGACACCAGCCCCCGTCCCGCCCCCTCCAGGTGCCACGCCTCCCCGCCCACAATAGTTCATTAGATGCCATGTGCCATCGTGGAGGAACCAACATGATTTGGCTGCAGACGAAGGAGCAGCAGCAGTTGGACATGGAGAAAAACATATAGTTATCATAGATCAGAAGATCAATTTGCTGGATTTTACAAATTTACTGTTTTTAATTTTTTTATGGTATTATTTTTATATATTATAAGTTCTGTTAAGTTAAAAACTTATTAACGAAAATTCTAGCCCATATATTTGGTATATTAACAAACTATTCAAATAGTTTCAATATTGGTATTATTCCTTAACAGTTTATTGTCAGCTACTTATTCATAAATCAAAATTTGTTTGGAATAATTTACTGATTAAAAATATTGAAATCTACTTAATGACTTCAAGCTTACAAAAATAAGATAGAAACTTTAGTAAAATATTTCAAACAAATTTCTTGCAAAAAAAGCGAGCATAGTTAAGAAAAAAAGCGAGCATAGTTAAGAAATGCTCTATTTTTTTGCAAGACCTAACAAATATTTTCTTCTGTGCAGCCACGGGCGAATTTCAACTAATTCCGAGAGCCGGCTTTTCGCATTTGAAATGCATTTGACTTTGATGGCTTTGGCGCAGGCGCTGGAGCTCTTTGCCCCCCGACCATTCCTCATTTTCTGGAAGTTCTGCACGGTGGCCCCGGGCAAAAGGTTCTATTTTTAATATGCTCGCGATTAGATAAGGTGCCCAGCAACAGCAGCAGAATCAGAACAGCAACAGCAGCAGCAACAATGACGATAAGCGGTGGGAACAGCAACACGAAGCGAATTGGGGGAAAAGGGCAGAACATAGCAGGCAGAACTACAGGGCACTTGGCGCCCCCACCGTCACAGCGCCGAAATAGCTCAGTTGGGAGAGCGTTAGACTGAAGATCTAAAGGTCCCCGGTTCAATCCCGGGTTTCGGCATAATATACTTTTTTATTTTTGTTTTTTTTTTATGTATTGTATTATTATAACATATATTTTTTATATACCCCTGCAGATATAAAACAAAATGATTTGTTGTTTAGAATAAACACTAACACCTTCTTGTCTGCTTCTCAAGAAAATTCTTAATTGAAAATAGGAAAAACTAATATTTTGTTATTCTTTTTAAGCAGGAATATAATTTAAAAAAATAACCTTAAATTTGTTATTTATTTAAAAATATATAAAAGATATCACAGATGTAAAAGAAAAAAAAACATACGTTAAAAAAAAATATAAAAAGTATGTAATTGCCGAAACCCGGGATTGAACCGGGGACCTTTAGATCTTCAGTCTAACGCTCTCCCAACTGAGCTATTTCGGCGCTGTGAGGGTGACGTCCCCAAGTGCCGTGTACTTCGCCAGCTATGCTCTGTCCTTTTTCCCCAGTGGTCGATTCTGCGTTTGCTGTGGGGCTAATCTAGACGGGAGCATATTAAATTAACCTTTTGAACTTTTATCTTTAAGTGGTTTTAAAAAACATGTTTTAATCGAATTATAAACGATTTTTTTCACAAATAAGCTCTATAGCTTCTATGACAGCTATATGATATAGGTGGAAGGTAGCATTTAAGTAATTCTCTAAAACTACTGAACTGATTTGAAATAAACTAAAAACTCATTTTGTATTGCTCTGCAGATTCATCCAAAACACATTTGAATGGCATTTAAATGCGGGATTTGGCCTTGTCTATGGTCATTCAAGTCCAGTGGCATGTGGCTGTCAATCAAGCGGTGTTCGCAAAATTAAACTAAGCCGGCGCAGCCAATGCCGACCTGGCCAGCGGGACAATGGATGGCCATGATGGTCAGGATGGCCAGGATGAAAGGTGCGGATTAAGCTGCATAATGGGCACGACGACTCAATCAAACAGCAGGCTAAATGGCACAAGGCCATCGCAGGGAAAAGTGAAAAGGGAAAATGCAAATCGCATTATTAACGCAGCCATTGACACATTGGACCTTGGCCAAGGACTAAGAACCAAGGACCATTGTCCAGTTGACTGATACGGTCCATTCTCGGATAAAGCAAAAGTGTGACGAATGCGCTGACAACAATTAAGAGCTGGAAAAGGTGAGCGACCAGGTAGGAACACCTTCAAGTGGACAACCGATTGGGGGCGTGATGATAGATTCATCCCGGCAGCTGCAAAACACGAACCAATATGCAAAGGATCTGGGCCGGAATTGAATCTCATCTCATCTCGATCCGGCGGTGTCCAACAACAGCTGCCAAGTGGAGGACGCGTGCTAGGCGACCACAAAAGCCATTGACTCGGCCTGAAAGGGAATCGAATGGAGAGATTGCCCCGGCCTACGCCTCAGAATATCGCATATCCGTTTGGCATAAAAAACCAAATGCTCCATGGCAACTGGCACGCACCACATGGCGCCCCTCGGTGTCTTTTGCATAAAAAAACCCTAAGAAAAAAACTGAGAGGCTCGGGTTTTTTTCTATAATTTCATTGTTATTTTTTTTTTATTGAAAGTGAAAGATGGAATGAGGCACCCTCAAATTGCAGCAGCCAGGAAGTGTGGCAGCCGCGAAAAAAACCTCGATTCGAGAACAAGAGAGCCCAAAAAAAGTGAAAAGATCCTTTCGAGTCTGCGGTCGGGGTGCCAATTGTCTATAGCGTAGGCTCAGGTTTTTTATGCGCCTTGCTGCCTATCAAGGAAATCATTTTCTTCTATCTTTGTTTCCCTTGTGCACTAAGAGAAAAAAATTATATACCTTACAGAATAAATTTTGCCTACCAAGAAAATCATTTTCGCTGTCATTGTTTGACATTTCCACTAATGGCAAAAAGATATAAAATACTTAATTTTTGATTGTTATTTAATATTTAAAATATTATGTTTCGAAAAATTTTAATTTTATTAGAGCTCAAAATTTTAATCACAAGATAAGCTTTCTGATTAATTAAATAAAAAATTTGAGCTGAAATGAAATACTTTCAGATGATTAAAATGAAATATAAATTATTTTCTGTCATAACATACTAACTTACCAACCCTGTTGCTGTCAAACATGATTTTTCCTCAGTGCACACAAAAAACAGGAGCCTGCGATGTTGTTTTGGTCCTTTTTGTTCGTATGCTAAGCAAGTTCTAATGAGGGTGCGTCTGCAGCGCCTTCCACTCTCGTTTTCCTTTGGAGAACAGTCGGTGGAGGGAGACCCAGAACGAGACCGAGTCCGATTCCGATTCCGAGTCCCTCAAGCAGATGCGCTTAGAATTTAGAAATATGCAAACTTGTATCAGGGCCGCAGCGATTTGGGAGCGTGGAAAGCGTCTTGCGAGTAAATCGCACCCCGCACACACATTACATGCGATGTCTGTAAGGGTTGCCCGCTAAGCACAGCGACTAAGTTGCCGTAAGGGGTGACATGTAAATTTTTGGTAGATTTGTAGTACTAATTCCTGTAAAAGGTACTAGGCTAGCAGCCGTCGGCAGCCCGGCAACATTGTACACCGACTTACAGAGGTCCCAACAATCTCGGCAGTCGTGGTGGGGGCTTTGACTACAAACAACCCCCGTGGCGCTCGTTTACACTATGTAGCAATCTGGGGTTTCATTACAAAGAATGTGCTCACCAACACTCTGATAAAAAAATCTCGATGGGGGTGATATTCATAGTGGAGCAAAACCGAAAGTATCTGTATTTAATTCAACAATCTATTCAACCTTATATTTTAAAGTACTATGATCTATAGGTTAAGACCGAATTATTAGTTGATTTGTTTTATTAAATTTTGGGATCAAGAGGAAACGATTTCAAGGGAAAAATTTCAGCTTATCTCAAGACAATATTTGCTATGATAAACATTTCTATAATGACAAAAATACTTTTATGTAAAGTGGAGTTCCAATTAAAAATATATCTGACAATTATAGCTTCAAAAAATAATTGTAAGATAAAATAAAATACGTTTTAAAATACATTAAATGTGAACTTTATTTTATTTAATTTCTCAATATATGCATAAAAATTATTTTAAGGCCCTAAGCCCACTGTGCTTCAATGCGCAGCGAAAATCCTGCTCCACTCGACGCTCCCATCACTTTCTCTTTCTCTCCACTCTCTTGACAGCTGCGCATAGGGCGAGTCCTTCGATGGGGAATCCTGGCTTGGAATTTATCCACCTACTAGCCAGTGCTGGTGGCCCGCTA